TTGAAGAAGAGTTCAGAAGTTGCTAGAGCATTCAGAAAAATATATAATGATCCTAATAATCCACTTGTATAGCCAGAACTTTTACAATGTGATGAAGGTCGTGAATTTATGGGAAAGACTTCTCAATTGATGAAGGAGCATAATGTTACTATTCGAGTGATTGGTCTATATACTCATCGAGGAGTAGCTTTTCTAGAACGTTTTAACCAGACACTGACAAAAATACTCAATAAAATCCAAGATGCTGTTGAATCTATATATCCCAATTCGAAATTAATAAAAGTATGGGTTAAGCATTTGCAAATGGTTATTGATTATCTAAATAATTATCCTACACGTCTCATTCAAGAACCAGGGACTAAGAAATGGGGGTTTGCACCTATAAAAGTATTATGTTAGAAAAAGTGGAATCAAGACCATCCATAAAATATAAGCGTTCAGTTGGAAAAGATAAAATAACGTTAAAGAAAGGTAATAGCATTCGTTATCTTCTTGCTATTGCAGAATGGGAAGGAGGAATGAAGAATCAAAAGAGGGCCACTGATCCCACATACTCACCTTCTATTCATAAAATTCAGAAAATTGTAGTAATAAAGAATGAGCCAGTTTTATATTATCTGGATGGAGAATTTGCACCATCTCGCAGATTTGTGCGAGAAGAACTCATGTTAATAGTTGATCCAGAAAAGGTTGGGTATTCACCTTAAAGTATATTATCCATAAATTTCGTTCATGCTTCTCTTATCAATAGTGAGATAAACCAAGCCATTGGTTATGCTCAAAGATGTGGTGGTCAATATCTAGGAAAGACTGGAGAAATAAATGGTCATGATATATATCTTTGGACTTGTGAAAATGGTACGCATCAATGGGAGTATCCATTAAAATACATTATGAAGAAATTTGAGTGCTGCCCTCTTTATTATCATATTAGCAAAAGAACTGTACGATATATTTTGAGAATCTGTTAGGCAAGAAATTTCCATCACGCAGGCCAAATTTTTTGGATGGAATGCAACTCGATGGGTATAATGAAGAACTACAACTAGCATTCGAATTCTATAATCGGCAATACTATAGTCTTAATTCAATGTTTCATAGGAGAGGCCAGATAGATTTAGATGAACAGAGAATACGCGATCAGAAGAAGCAGGATATATGCAAGGAGCAAGGTATATCTCTTATCGAAGTTCCCTATACAGCTGATCTCCTGTCCTATATCAGACATACTCTAATCGAAAAAGGATTCTTGAGTAATTCTTCAAGTTAGGTCAGAGAGAATTATTTAGGGCTAAGAAATTCATTTTGGCATAATATGTAATACTATATGAAACTCTTTGTGTATAATATTGATGAGATCCCCAGAAAATCTTTGGAGTGAATGAAAGGCAATAAATATAGTCCAGATTGGCCTTTTCGCCTTCTAGTTACTGGAGGCTCACATAACGGAAAAACTAATATGATTATAAACCTTATTCTAGGCAACAAATTCCAGCACATGTTAAAAGGAAAGAAGGGGAATAGATATATTAAAAATGATGACCTCATATTGGTTGGAAAACATGCCGAGCCTAAATGGGAGCTGGTTAAAAATGCTATCCATATTTTTGCGAATAGCTCTAAGCCATATTAGGAGAATATCTCATTTCAAACAATAAGGCAGAAAAGATCCTAGATATAAGCAAATACTCCCCAAAAAGAAGTACTGTTGTTATTTTTAAAGATCTCTATGCTGAATCGAAAAATATTCAAAAACGTATCGTCCCTTATTTCATTAGTGGTCGGCATCAAAATATCTCACCAATATACGTAACCCAGAAATATCAAGCTATGCTAAGATAATTCGTGAAAATATCTCACATCTAGTTATGTTCCGAGGGAGTGGTAGCCGGGATGATATTCAAAGAATTGTGTGTTAATATATGGATGATCCGAAAAAGGCATCCAAGATTATTGATAAATATTTGCGAGATCAGAATTTTGTGGTCTTCGATTTTACTAAGGCAACTGACGATCTATTAGCGATTAGACTCAGTTGGAACATGCCTCTGACATTTGAAAAAAAGTATTGTCAAATTTATATTGAATTATAAAATGTTATTAGTGATACCTGAAAATGATTAGTTAATAAGTCCTAATGCATATAGTTCTTGTTGAATAATCTTCTCAGGATCTTTATCATTATGGTATATATAAAAGAGATATATACCATTTTCTCCACATAATTTTTTCTTAAGCTGATCCCGCTCTTGCTGCTTAATAAAATTATTGGGATCTCCTTCATGAAAGAATTCATGATATTTTTCATATTGTACACCTTGTATTTCGATTGCAAAGCCATGATCATAGTAGGAGATATCAAGTTCTAATCCTTTAGGATGTTCTAAAGTTTTAAGAAATTCAGGTTGGCGTATTTTAGATGGTGGTCCAAGATATGTTGCTACAATTTCACGACATAAGTTTTCACGTTTATGTTTATTACAATGTGGACACCATGTGTTCATATTTTTAATACTATTAAGTGATGCATTCTATTGATGTCTATTACTGCATTCTTATAAGAGCGGAGATATGATATTATTATATTTTTCTGAGAGACATTTACCTTCTTTATTAAAAGCCAGATTTCTTGCAATTTGGAGATCAAGTTTTAAAGAATTATCTTCACATACTGGACACCAACTACCACGCTGTATGCTGTGTAAACTGGCTTTCCATTCATGACACTTCGCATAGCTCCACAATAATGGTTGATTGGTATCAATATATTTTTCTGAGAGGCAATTGCCATTCTTCTCACGTGCTAAACTTTTTGCAAATTCTATACTATGTTTCAATCCGCGCTTTGCATATTAGGGACACCAAGTGTTATTATTTTTTATGTTATTAAATGATGCTTGCCATTCATGACCTTTGGTGCATTTCCATTTTAGAAAAAATTTGTTATTAATATATTTTTCTGATAAACATATTGTTACCCTTGAAATTAGATCTGCAAAATTGATCTACAGATGATCTACAGTTAATCAAATTAGTACTACAAAATCGA